GGAGTACAAATAAGTTTCCGCCGTTTTTAATAAAAAATTAAGCATTTATTGTGAAAGAACGGTAAATAATGTTTTATTCAAAGTAATGGCCATCGCTAGTCATTATTTTTTCCCATCTTTCTGTGAATACCGCATCGGAAGAACGCTTCATTTTTTTAACACTATCCAATCATCGATACAATTTTTGGTATCTTCATATGATGTGAAGTGCTGCTCAGACAGGCCATGCGTCATCGATCAGAATAAGTGGTAGTCGGAAGGAGAATACGGCGGGTGGGGTAGAACTTCTCATTTGAATGTTTTCGTAGGTTTAGTAGGTTTTGACCGACGCCGCAACATGTGGTCGAGCATTATCATGCAAGAGAATAATTTTATCATGCCTGAAGTAGTAGTAGGCGCGTTTTTCCTTGAGTGCTCAATTTCATCAATTGTGTTCGGTAGAGAGCCCCAGTAATGGTCTCGTTCGGTTTCAGCAACTCATAATACACGACACCAAGCTGATCCCACCAAATACACAACATGAGTTTTTTTCTATGAATATTCGGCTTGGCTATCGATGTTGAAGAATGGCCAAGTGATCCCCATGATTTCCTCTTCTTTGGGTTATCGTAGTGGATTCATTTTTCATCACCAGTGCCTATACGATGCAAAAAACCCTTTCGTTTATGCCTGGCAAGCAGCATTTCACATGTGAAAAATCGGCGTTCAACATTTCTCGGCTTCAGTTCATATGGAACTCAATTCTCTTGCTTTTGAATCATTCCCAATGATTTCAAACGATATGAAATTGTTTGTTGAGTCACTCCTAATGTAAGTGCAAATTCTTTTTGCGTTTGGCACGAATCTTCATCCAATAATGCTTCCAATTTCGCGTCTTCGTACACTTTCAGCCTTCCGCTATGTTATTCTTTGTCTTCAATGTCAAATTCACCGTTCTTAAACTTTTGAAACCACTCACGACAACTTCTCTCACTTAAAACAGCATCACCATATACTTTTACAAGCTCTATGAACCTTAGCTGCAGATTTCTTTAAATTAAAGAAGTAAATCAAAAGCTCCCGCAAATAACGCTTCGGCTCAAAACTCGATATTTTCACAAAAAAAAATATATGATGCTGATACAAAATCGCTAATATTTCAAGGTTATGGTTGCCGGATCTCCAATCTTACGATATGTCGTTTTAT